CTCAAATGTAAATTCATGTTGTGTCTATCTCATTCACCGTTATATGTCCATATTTTTTCACATTATACTTCTGAGAAATCAGAATGCGTCTTGTATTGATGGTATCTTGGTATTCTATCATTGTTTAATTGGTGGTGGTGTTCTATCTCAGTAGTAAATAAAATAATGGTGTGTTATGATTGACGGCATCTTAGACTTTATGAAATAAGATATATTACTTAAATAGAAAAATGATGACATTATGTAACTATAAAAATGACAGTGAGGGAGTGCCTGGGTGGCTCAGTCGGTTAGTGACTGACTCTTGATTTTGGCTCAGATCACGATCTCAGGGTTGTAAGATCAAGCCCTGCATCAGGCTGTGCACTGAGTATGCAGCCTGCTTAAGATTCTCTCTCTCCCTCTGCTCCCTGACCCCCACTCACGCCAGTTTGCTCTATCTCTTAAAAAAAACAAAAAAGGCAACAAGAACAGTGAGGATAAGTGAGAGGACAAAAGTAAAAGCTTAAAATGAACCACTACTGCTAGTTTAAGGTTTCCAGATGATACAGGTCACCTGGTTAAATTAGAATTTCATATAAGAAAAGAATAAATTTTACTCTAATTATGTTCCATATAATATGTGGGATATACTTATAGTAAAAAAAAAATTCATTCTTTGGGATTTGAGTGCCCTGTATTTTTGATTGCTAAATCTGCCAACCCTGTCCTGGTTAGAAATACAAAAGTAGCTTCCCTTTTCCAAAGACATTACATAAAGTATTTGGTGCTTACCCTCATATAGGAAGGAAGCACATGAACGTCAATACAGATCATGTATTATGGAATAAAGTCTAGTATGTTGAGAAAAAAGGATTCCACAACTGTTTCACTATTACTTTATCAATTAAAAAGCTTCATCGAAGTCCAGAATATCCCTGAAATTCACAATCTGATCTATTTTCTTACCTCAGCATAAGCTTTGGCCCATGAACTGGCTAGCTGATGTAAATCTACTTCACCGGATTTCACAGCTTCCAGGGATGCTTCGGCGTCGCTGTCATAATCCCTGAGGGATTCTTCTTCTATAAACTGGCTTAGAGCTTCTTTTAAGTCTGTAACAGGGATAAGAAATGCCAACATCAGAAAATCCCAACATAAAGAGGGAACATTTTACCTGGATAGGTCTTCCAATGTGAAATTTTATCAAGCTTGTATCCTTAACTGAATGTCTAAATAAAATAAAATTAGCTTGGGGATCATTTGACTAGTTTCACAATTATTTTTCTTACTATTACAGGTTATTGCATTGACAATGGTTAAAACTCTTAACTCTTATGTATAACCTTGACACTGATTTAAAAACATTACTTTCTTAAGTCCGATTTTTCAGTTTGAAAAGAAAAATCTGAAAAAGAAACTGAAAAACTGAAAAAGAAAAATCTACAAATTTTCAGAAGGCTATCGTATTTAAATAAAAAAGCTTCCTATATATAGAGTTACATTCTTTGAATTTGAAAGAGAAATTGGGTGCTTAGCATATTAAATGGATTTAATTGGGATGATCTATAATTCCAGTTTTAGCAACACTACTTAGAGATGATATAATGGAAAGAGCATAGGGATAGAAATCGGGATATTTGTGTTCTGATTTTGGCTCTGTCACTATGTTTGTAACCTTAGACCCATGGTTCTCAGTTTTTAGCATGCATCAGAATTCCCTGGAGGGCTTACTGAAATAGATTGCTACGTGCCACCCCCAGAGTGTCTGATTCTGAAAGAATGGGGCGAGGCCCAAGAATGTGCATTTCTAACAAGGTTCCAAGGAATGCTGTAGCTTCTGAACAAGGAACAACCTTTGGGAACCGCTGCCTTAGGCAAAGAATTTAACTTTTCAATGTACCAGTCCTTATTTGTATAATGAGATCGTGTTAAAAAGTTCCTAGATTCCATTACAACTCTATGACCTAACATATTCTCAGCTTCAAATGTTTTTATCATTTGCGAGATAGAACACAGAGACCTTTTACAAATGATTTAATACAGATGACCTTATGGAATTAATTTAGGTAAGCAATAATTATTCAAAGATTAGTATGGCTTCCCTTCCATGACATCTCAGGAATAGAGGACCAGATCATTAAAAAGGCAATGCATTTAGCAACACAATTCTCTAATATCATAATTAGTGATAACTGAAATGAATCCACCCAACTAAATTAAGAGAGTAAGCATTCTAGCCCAAACCTTGTAGCTAATTTTTCATTTATTTTTAATTTTTTTTTTAACATGGGGCATGAACTCACAACCTGAGATCAAGACCTGAGCTGGGATCAAGAGTCAGATGCTTAACTGGCCAAGTTGCCCTGGTTCCCCTACAATTTAATTTTTAAACTAAATTACCTAGTAAACAACTACAAGGATTATAGAAAAAAATTCAATAAAACAAAGGCCCGGGGAACCTTTTTATTCTAGGAAGCAATTAAACACATCTGCTGTTTCAAGCTACTCAGGCTTAAGCTTTCTAATATGAAATGTCTAAGGAAAGAGACTATCAGAAAATAATAAAATGGTATTAAAAAATCAGTCCTCAGGGTGCCTCAGTAGCTCAGTTGGTTAAGTGTCTGACTCTTGATTTTGGCTCAGGTCATGACCTCATGGGTCATGAGATCAAGCCCAGTGCTGGGCTCCACGCCCAGTGGGGAATCCGCTTGAAGATTCTCTCCCTCTGCTCCTCCCCCCACCCCCACATGCTCTTTGTGTGTGTGTCTCTCTCTCTAAAATAAATAGATAAACCTTTACAAAATCAGTTCTCACCTTTTTCTATAAAGCATGGTAAACTGTGCAGCAGCATCAGACGCCCGTGTAAATGACTGGCATTCTCTTGAACAGGAAATTTGAGAGGCACCCTCAGTTCTAAGCACTGACTTCCTACCTTGAATTTATATACAAATTCCCTCTCTGTGTTGCAGAATCTTTCTCTGCTTTTCTTCATCTTCTTTGGCAGGCTTTCTATAGAATAAACAAACAAACAAAATCCCAGCAGATTATAAGTCCATAAAAATCACGTTTCGTTATTGTTGTACCACTTCTAAGAAAATGTTCCACGATTCAGTGATTTTGTTTGTGTGACTCAAAGCTAATTATTTTCAGTTTTCCTACCTTCATCCCTGCATTTTAATCTTCATGAAGAAAATGAAGTGCTTCTTTTTTTTTAATGAAAAAAGTTCCTTTTGAACTTCACTTAGGAAAAAAAAAACCCATTATTCCCATAAAGTATTTTGCATACCTAGGCAGGGTTCTCAATAACAGAGAGAGAACATGGAGAGAAGAGCAGAAAAGATTTTTAGGAAGAGATAACTAGGTGGACAGATAGAGAGTTTATGAAACAACTGGTGAATACAAAGTCAAAGAAACAGATTGGGGATCAAGAAGTGATCTTGAAGATCTTGGATGCTGTGAGTATGAGATCTTATTGGATACGGATGCAAGAAAGATGGTGTTAGGAAGATTTCCTTGTGAGAAAAAGATAAACAACAACAAAAAAAAGGCACAGTATAGCCCAAAAGGTAAATCAGACACTTTTCAAAAAGACGAAATTCTGGCCACAAAGAGTAAGAATCTATATCAATTAAGGATTTATTTATCAGCCTCCTTAGTAGGCTCCATCTCTACACTTTTCACCATCAAATCAGTTTTCACAGTATTCTCCATGCTGAAGTTACAATCTTTCCAAAGTGCCTATCTGATCATGTTGCTCATCTACTTAAAACTTTTTGATCATATTCCATTGCTCTCAGGATAAAATTCAAATGCCTTCACCCAGTACACAATGTTTCTATTTCCACACTCCCCCCACAGCACCTGCAACCCCTCATCCTCAACACACAAATTCACAAACCATTTTCCAGTCATATTAAGTTCTTTTTAATACCAAACCTCTCTTTCCACTTCCAACCTTTTTGAATGATTTTTCTTTGCCTAGAGCACTCTTACTGCTTTTTTCTTGGATAACAACTACTCATTCTTCAGGTCTCAGCTTAGATGGGCACCGGGGAGTCTTTAAATTTGTAAGACTGTCATAAGGATTAATTGAGTAATAAATACGAAGCATCTGACAAACAAGATGATCAACAGATGAAGGCTAGTAATAATAATAAAAGTTCTCTAATACCGTAGTAATTTAAAAATCATAGGTTACTGATTGAGTATACATGATGAAGACAAAGGCAGTAAGGGAACACTGTAAAAGGGAATTGAAAGTTAGGGATAAGTGGGTTATGATCTAATCTTGTTTAGATTTAGTATTTTCGATCAACAAAAACTATTAGCTCCGGTTTTAAACGGTTCAACATACAAACTTACTATGTTTCAACAAACTGAAACTTTAGTTCTCTCTCCCCAATTTTATTTTATTTCATTTTATTTATTTATTTTTAGCAGGGGTAAAATCAAGGAAGGTTTTCCGGGCAAAATTGGGATGGGATCCTGCCGCCAACAGAGTGCAGGTTCTGAATGCAGGAAAGGGACGGCAAGCTGCCGGCGCGAGAAGCTCTTGCCAAATGAGGACAACACCCTCTCCGTTAGGCGGTTGCAGTCCCAAACATCTTCCTCGCTCTTGGCCCTGGGCTCACCTACCCTAGTTCCGAAGTCCTGAGCCGAACGCACACTCCGAGCTGCCAGTGAGCTGGGGCACAGCGAACATCAGCTGACTTACCCCTTTGTTTTTACAGCCAACAGATCTGCTTCAGCATATTCGCCCATACCTTTTCCTCTTTCCCAAAACTCTGTAGAAAATTCCTCAGTCTAAGTGCCCCCTTTTCCCATCCTACCTCATTTAATCATTAAAAAACGTGTATTTCAAGAATGTGTATTTTTACTGTATTTCTACTGATTTCTAAGGAAATCCACTGTCGTGGCGAAAGTGCAAGGACAAAGCACAAACTCGGCTTTGGTAGACCGGATGCGGAAGGGCAATGCCTTGGGAACGACGAGAGCAATCAGCTCTTCTCAGAGCGCATGCGCAGCTGCAAGAATGGCTGGTAATCATTGGAGGGCTGGTGGCAGGGGGCGGAGAGCTCCGGTGTCTGGTTTTGGGCGGGAATTGAAACCGCCGCTGCTGCCAACAAGAACTTGAAAGCTGCGAATTTTCAGCCTAGGAGGGGGCCATGGTGCGGCCTGTGAGGTGAGTAGTTCGTGACAGCGGCGGCGATGGGGAGAAAAAGCAGGAAGACGCTGTAGGCAACTTCGTCTACACACGATTGAGGGGAAAGTGCCAAATAGGACGGCTGGTAGCGACGGTGGGCTGGGATGGACGGTTTCTGGGAAGCTGTCCAGTGTCCACTGAGAGTCCCCCAATCCGTAGAAGTATCCTAGCATGCTAACTTTTTCCTTCCTTCGCAGCTATTGCGGATTCTTTTACCCACCCATTCAAATAAGCCCTGGTTATGTTAGCGTTGGAACAGCGCTTTACATTTCACCTAGCTCCTGCTTGCGTGTTTTTTCATTTTTTTCATCACTACAATTCTTTGATATAACAGTTTAGATATCCCCGTTTTTATCGATTTAAACTCCTAGGCATAAAGGACAATTTAGCTGAGTCACAGTTAGTGAGTGGCAGGGTAACACTCAAACCTAAATCTTCTGGCTCTAGATCCTCTGTGCTTTCCATTATACTGTTTGAAACTATTCCCCTTCTTAACCACAGTGGAGTGCTATGGAGGCCTAGAGTCAGGCACTCATTCAGAGAGTTTACTGGTATACTGTACTGATCATGGGAGGTTACATTCCAGTCAAGGGGTAAGGTTAGGGGACCACAAATCAATACCGCAAAGTGATGGAGAGTGAGCAGGAAAAACTTATTTTAAATAGTGTAGTTAGGATGCACCTCTCTGCAGAGATAATACATAATCCGAGACATGAATGATGAGAATGAGCTAGCCAGTGAAAATCTGGGACAGTCCAGGTAGCGGGGACAAGAGCCAAGGCCCTGAACTTGACTATGTTTAGGGACAGAAAGAAGGCCCTTAAAGCTGTAGCATTAGCAAGCAGTGGAGAGAATTGTAGATTAGGTCAGAGAAATAGGTAGGAGCCAGACTAGGTAGGACCTTGTAGGCTCTAGAAAGGAGTTTAGATTTTATTCTATGTAGAATGGGAAGCCAATGGAGAGTTTTAAGTAGAACAAGGAAATCTAATTTTGGCTTTATAAAATTCACTGGCTCCTGGTGGAGAAAAATGGAAGATGGGGTGACCAGAATGGGGACAGGGAAACCATCATATCATTGGATAGTGTTTTGGAGTAGGGTATTACCAGTGGACATGGAATGGGGCAGATAAATTTGGGATATATTTTGGAGATATTGCCAACAGAACTTGTTGGTGAAGTGAATGTAGAGGTAAGGGGAAAAAAGAATCAAAGATGATTTCGCAGTATTTTTGGCCTGAGCTACTTGAATGGATGATCCTTGTACTAACCAAGGTAGGGAAGACTAGGAAAGGGAATAGCTTCAGGTATGGGAGATCAGGAGTTCCATTTTTGAGCTCACAAAGTCTGAAATGGATTTAAACACCCAAATAACTAAGACATAATCCCCTTGTCTGGAATAGCAGTTGTCAAAGCACTGTCTACAGACTCCGAGGGTTCTCTGAAACCCTGTAAGGAGGTCCATGAGGTCAAAATTATATTCATAGTAATCCCAAGATATTGCTCGCTTTATTCATCGTTCTGTCATCTGCACTGCAATGGTGGCATAACTGATGGAGCCTCAGCACAAATTAAGACAGTGGCACCAAACTGCACAAATATTTTTGTATTCATTACTGCTGCACACTCAGAGTACAAAAAAAAAAAGAGAGAGAAAATGCCAGTTTCACTTAAGACTGTGTTTGATGAAACAGTAAGAATTCTCATAACTCAGCTGTTGAGCGTACTTCTTTTTTTAAGAGGTTTTATTATATTTTACTATTATTCAGTCTTCAGAGTTTCTAAAGGGGTTTTCGTATTTTATTCAGCTTTCAAGTTCTTTAACTTCAAAGAGTAGGAGAGTGACACAGTTACATATGTACAACATAAACTACTCTACAGTGGTTGTCTTCAGGGAAAGCACTTGTGAGATTGAGCTGGGAGCTGAACTGACCTCTTTTTTCATAGAACACCATTTTGTTTGAAAGAACTGGCCTACTAGGTTATTCACACTTGTATTTGGCAGAAGATAGACAAGAAAACCACAGTGATGTTTTATTTAGTGCCTAGGGGAAGGAGGAAGAAAGTGAGTTCATTTTTTTCCACTTTGAATATCACTTTCTTCTAATGGCTCTCTAAAGTAGTAGAAAGATTTGTTTCAGGTGGCAGGTACAAGTCACTCACCATTGTTTCAGTGTCCAGTGCATAAAGAACATTATTTAGTATTGTGGGGAGATTTAAAAAAGAGAGACAATAGTTTTCAGTGTCAAGTTTATAATCTAATAAGGAGACAGAATGCACAGATAAAACTAAAGCATACATGTAACAGGAACTTATAAGTGCCCCACAGCAATTAAACAATATGTAAATTGTGTTAATGATATTGGTTATTTTTACTTTGATGGTAATCTAAATACATATTTTCCTTATCAGATATATCAACTATAGTTGTAATTATTTCAGCTAATGCTAAGTTCCAACTGTAAAATCGAACTTGTGTTTCATGTTTAAGTATTCTTAATAGAGTCAAAACACATTTTCCTTTACTCAGTGGTCTTAAGGATTGGAGATGGGAAATTGGCATTTGTGTAATTAAATTTCTCTCTTGGTCATAGGCATAAGAAACCAATCAATTACTCACAGTTTGAGAATTCTGACAGCGATGGTAAGTGGAGATTCATATTTTTGCTTTAAAAATTTGGAAATTTATTTTCTCAGAATTTATATAACAGAGAACTTTAACATTGAACATATTGTCCAGGTGTATATGAGTTAAGGCTGTAAAAATGATGTTCTAAGCATTTGGGATGATTATGCTGATAAGAATTGTGACTGACAAGAATTATGTAGGTAAGTGATAAATGAACAGGGCCAGGTGAGATGGCTTTTTAGATGTAAGCCATTCTAGGTTCATGTTTCTCATAGTGGGGTTTGTCTCCTCTTGTCCCTTTCCCTAAGAAGAAACACATTGTCTATTAAAACACAAATGTGTTACAGAATATAATGTGAAATCCCCATTAATGGTACAATAAATAAAATCTTACATACCACATATTCTTTATCTATTCATCAGTCAGTGGGCATTCAGGCTCTTTCCATAATTTGGCTATTGTAAATAATGCTGCTACCAAGAACCATAAGATACCTGGGAATAAACCTAACCAAAGAGGTAAAGGATCTGTACTCGAGGAACTACAAAACACTCATGAAAGAAATTGAAAAAAGACACAAAAAGATAGAAGAGCACTCCATGCTCATGGATCAGAAGAATAAACATTATGAAAATGTCCATACTGCCTAGAGCAATCTATACTTTCAATGCCATCCTGATCAAAATTCTACTGGCATTTTTCAAAGAGCTGGAAAAACAATCCTAAAATTTGTATGGAACAAGAAGAGACCCTGAATTGCTAAGGAAATATTGAAAAAGAAAAAACAAAACTGGGGGCATCATGTTGCCTGATTTCAAGCTTTAGTACAAAGTTGTGATCACCAAGACAGCATGGTACTGGCACAGAAACAGACACATAGACCAGTAGAACAGACTAGAGAGCCCAGATATGGACCTGCAATTCTATGGTCAAATAATCTTTGACAAAGCCGGAAAAAATATCCAGTGGAAAAAAGACAGTCTCTTCAATAAATGGGGCTGGGAAAATTGGACAGCTATATATAGAAGAATGAAACTCGACCATTCTCTTAAAACCATACACAAAGATAAACTTGAAATGGATAAAAGACCTCAACGTGAGACATGAATCTTACCAAAATCCTAGAGGAGAACATAGGCAGTAACCTCTTCGACATCGGCCACAGCAACTTCTTTCGAGACATGTCTCCAAAGGCAAAGGAAACAAAAGTGAAAATGAACTTTTGGGACTTTAAGATTAAAAGCTTCTGCACAGCAAAGGAAACAGTCAACAAAACGAAGAGGCAACGTACAGAATGGGAGAAGATATTCGCAAATGACCCTACAAAGGGCTGATATCCAAGATCTATAAAGAACTCCTCAAATGCAACACACACAAAACAGATAATCATGTCAAAAAATGGGCAGAAGACATGAACAGACACTTCTCCAATGAAGACATACAAATGGCTAACAGATACGTGAAAAACTGTTCATCATCATTAGCCATCAGGGAGAATCAAATCAAAACCACACTGAGATATCACCTTACACAGAATGGCCAAAACTAACAAGACAGTAGACAACAAGTGTTGGAGAGGATGTGGAGAAAGGGGAACCCTCTTACATTGTTGGTGGGAATGCAAGTTGGTGCAGCCACTTTGGAAAACAGTGTGGAGATTCCTTAAGAAATTAAAAATAGAGCTACCCTATGACCCTGGAATTGCACTACTGGGTATTTACCCCAAAGGTACAGATGTGGTGAAAAGAAGGGCCATCTGTGCCCCAATGTTCATAGCAGTATTTACCCCAAAGGTACAGATGTAGTGAAAAGAAGGGCCATCTGTACCCCAATGTTCATAGCAGCAATGGCCACAGTCATCAAACTGTGGAAAGAATCAAGATGCCCTTCAATAGACAAATGGATAAAGAAGATGTGGTCCATATATACTATGGAGTATTATGCCTCCATCAGAAAGGATGAATACCCAGCTTTTGCATGGACGGGACTGGAAGAGATTATGCTGAGTGAAATAAGTCAAGCAGAGAGAGTCAGTTATCATATGGTTTCACTTACTTGAGGATCATAAGGAATAATATGGGAGGATATTGGGAGATGGAGAGGAGAAGTGAGTTGGGGGAAATTGGAGGAGGAGACAAACCATGAGAGACTGTAGACTCTGAGAAACAAACTGAGGGATTTGGAGGGGAGGGGGTGGGGATTGGGTGAGCCCGGTGGTGGGTATTAAGCAGGGCATGAATTGCATGGAGCACTGGGTGTGGTGCATAAACAATGAATTATGGAACACTGAAAATTAAAATTAAATTTCAAAAAATAATGCTGCTATAAATATCAGGCTGAATGTATCTCTTTGAATTAGTATTTTTTTGTAGCCTTTGGGTAAATACCTACTAGTGCAATTGCTGGCTCATATATTTTTCAGCCATAAAGAAGAATGAAATCTTACTAATATGCAACGACATGGATAGAGCTAAAATGTATGATGCCAAGTTAAATAAATCAGAGAAAGACAAATATTGTATGATCTCACTCATATGTGGAATTTAAGAAACAAAACAGATGAAAATGTCAGGGGGCAGTGTGGAAGAGAGTCAAACCAAGAAGTACACTATTAATTATAGAGAACAAACTGATGGTTACCAGAGTAGGGGTGGGTGGAGGATGGGGGAAATAGGTGATGGGAATTAAGGAGGGCACCACTTGTGATGAGTGCTGGGTGTTGGTTATAAGTGTTGAATCGCTAAATTCTAATAAATTAATATTACACTGGGGGCGCCTGGGTGGCTCAGTGGGTTAAAGCCTCTGCCTTCGGCTCAGGTCATGATCCCAGGGTCCTGAGATCGAGCCCCACATTGGGCTTTCTGCTCAGCGGGGAGCCTGCTTCCGCCTCTCTCTCTGCCTGCCTCTCTGCCTACTTGTGATCTCTGTCTGTCAAATAAATAAAATCTTTAAAAAAAATTAATATTACACTGTATGTTAACTAACAGGAGTGTAAATAAAAACTTGGAAGAAAAAAAAAAGACCTGGAAGAAAAGTTAGGAGTAAGCTATACCCTATACGTGATTTTGACATATTTTTTTGTCTCTGCTATTAAGAGAATTTTGGTCAGAAAGTGTGAGAAAGATTCAGTTAGATTACATTATACTTTGAAGTAGGTTTTGTATTTCTCAGACCACCAGAGCTTTCTGTGAGTCAAATGTTTTAGTAATCCTGAGATTTGAAGGAACCTGTTTTTTTGCTTTGGGCTCGACTATAAGTGTGTCTAAGACTTGGAAGAAAATAGCAGAGACTCTAACTTGTAGCTTTTTATTACTGTTATCAATAGGTCAGTAGATTTTTATAAATTGCCAGTTGTGTTCTAGACATAGTGGAGGTGGGGGGCAAGCCACAAGTTATCATATTCCTACTCGGGGAAGCTTGAAAGAGACAACATGTATTAATACTAATGCTGCAATTAAGACTACATGTGTCAGAGGCTATGCACACGTGTGTCACGCATGAGTGTAAAAGCTATAGCAACAATTTTATGTTGAGTGTCACTGAAACTTTATCAATTTTTGCTAGACTGGTAATTTAAAAATAAATGCCGCTAAAACAAAGTTGAAAAGCATGAGTGATAATAAAGGTAAATAATACGCCAACAATACTTTTTACGTTGTGTCAGTTAAACAATTTTCTTAATGTTTAAAACTTGAATGCACACTGTAATGAATTTCAACTGCTCAGAAATTGTTTTTGTTTCTTACTTACGAAAAGCAATTTCATAGACATTTATTTTTGATTCACACATAAATAGATGACTTTGTTTCTGCAACTGCACCTTTAAATAAGAAACCCAGAACAACACCGAAGGAGTTGAAACTGGAAACAAGGAAACCTAAGCTGAAGAATGTCCAGAAAGAAGATATCCCACTACAAGAGAAAACACCTAAAAAAAGGTGAGAGGTAAGACATAGAGTAAATATACATTAGCTGTGTTCATTTAAGAGAGATTATTTTATTTAGTGTGTGTAGGAGAACAGGGATGTAACATTCATCCCCTTCTGACTTTCTGCCTTAGAAATTCACAAACATGTAAGGAAATGCTCATTTAAGTATTAAGACAATCATAATTACAACGTTTAAGAGTTATAGCTTACTTTGGTAGGACTCTGTACCTGTCTCTAAAGTCCTCAAGTCTTATAAGGCTACTTTGTTAAAAATTACATTTGTAAGGATAATTTTATAAAAATTAAACAATGTATTTTTCTGTAGATAGAAGATATTTTCTCTTTATATTGTTGAGAGTTGTCCAGCGCTGAGAAGTTCCTATAGTTTGTAGATGAATTCTGGATTTCCATTAGTTAGTACCAAAAGAGAAGAGAGAGTGACGGAAGCAAGTCCCGAGAGGCCCCAAACCTGTAGAATGGAGAAGAGATGGGCTGAGGGGGAGTATTAACAAATGGAAGGTAGGGCATGATATGGTTCACTGCTGCAAGTGTGAGAAAAGTTGATTAACAAAGAGAAATTTACTCCATGTTTTTTTTCTTCTTTCTTTTTTAAAATTCATTTTTGTTTTTGAGCTGCTTGTACTACATTTTTTTTTTAAAGATTTTATTTATTTATTTGTCAGAGAGAGAGAGAGAGAGTGAGCACAGGCAGACAGAGAGGCAGGCAGAGACAGAGAGAGAAGCAGGCTCCCTGCTGAGCAAGGAGCCTGATGTGGGACTCAATCCCAGGACACTGGGATCATGACCTGAGCCGAAGGCAGCCACTTAACCAACTGAGCCACCCAGGCGTCCTCTTGTACTACATTTTAAATACAGTAAAAAAAAATAACCTACAAATGGACGAGAATATTTTTCAGTCATATAATTGATGGGGGATTTGTATTCAGAATATATATAGAACTTTTACAACTCTACAGTAAAAAGACTAATAACCCGATTTACAAAATGGGCAAAGGATTTGAGTAGACATTTTTCCAAAGAAGTTCTACAAATGGCTAATAAGCACATAAAAGATGCCTGACTTTCTTAGCCATTGGGGAAGAGCAAATCAAAACTGTGGTGAGACAGTACTTCGCACCCATTGGGATGGCCATAATCAAAAACAGACTGAAACCACTGTTAAAGAGGATGTAGAGAAATTGGAACTCTCACACATTGTTGCTGGGAATGTAAAATGGTGCAGCCACATTGGAAAGCAGAGATAGCAGTTCCTCCAAATGTTAAATACAGAGTTATTTTATAACCCGGCCAAAGTATATACCCGGGAGGAATGAAAACATATACATACCCACACAAAAACTTGGACATGAAGAAGGTTCACGGCATTATTCATGATAGCCAAAAAATGGAAGCAATCCAAATGTCTACCAGCTGGTGAATGGATAAATAAAATATGGTCTCTGCACACAATGGAATATCATTCAGCAATAAAAATAAGTCCTGATATATGCTACAACATGGATGAACCTTGAAAACATGTGGAGCAAAAGAAGCCAGCCATGAAAGTCACATGTATGATTCCACTGATGTGAAATGTCTAGAATAGGTGAGTGTAGAAAGAGAAGGTAGATTAGTGGTTGCCAGGTGTTGGGGAGGGCTAAGCAGGGAGTGACTGCTAATGGATGTAGGGTTTCTTTTTGGGGTGATGAAAATGCTCTGAAATTAGATAGCAGTGATGGTTTCTCAACTCTGAACGTACTAAAAACTGCTGAATTGTACACTTGAAAAGGGTGAGTTATATACTATGTGAGTTATATCTCAATAAAACTTGTTTTTAAAAAAATAATAAATCCCTCAAGGTACATCTCAGTATTTCATCTTTTTTTTTTTTTTTAAGATTTTATTTATTTATTTGACAGACAGAGATCACAAGTAGGCAGAGAGGCAGGCAGAGAGAGAGAGGTGGGGGGAAGCAGGCTCCCTGCTGAGCAGAGAGCCCGAAGCGGGGCTCGATCCCAGGACCCTGAGATCATGACCTGAGCCGAAGGCAGAGGCTTTAACCCACTGAGCCACACAGGCGCTCCTCAGTATTTCAACTTTTATGTAACTTTTTTTTTAAAATTTTTGAGTTCTTTTCTTATATATCATAGCACTTTGAACCACCTTGAATAGGAGATATAATAATCTGCATGTATAGGATAATTATTAGTATGTCTTATTTCCGTACCCTCCTCATTAATTGCAGACTCCTTGAGGGTACTTTTAGTATTCTATCTAGTGCATGCCTCATACATAGTAAGTACTTGATGACATAGTTGTTAAAACTGAGATTGGGAGGAACAGATGTTAAAAATCAGTTTAAGGGATGCCAGGGTGGCTCAGTGGGTTAAGCCTCTGCCTTCGGCTCAGGTCATGATCTCAGGGTCCTGGGATCGAGCCCCGTATTGGGCTTTCTGCTCAGCGGGGAGCCTGCTTCCCCCTCTTTTTCTGCCTGCTTCTCTACTTGTGATCTCTCTATCAAATAAATAAATAAAATCTTTAAAAAAAAAACAGTTTAATATAAGAGCTATAATGCTTGTCTAAAGGAGGTGTGAGTGAGTCAAGGAAGATTTCTAAGTGGACTTTTGAGCCAAGTCTTTATTCTAGGTTGAGCAGGTGCTTGGAGTGGGTAGTTAGGACTGACATTACACAGAAAGGAAGCAGTACATACAAGGGCGCTTGCTGCTCCTCTTTTCAGTCTCTTGTGCTAGATGTAATATGACATTACTACATATTAGCAGTGTTGTCAGTTATGATTATGGTTACTGTTTAAAAACATTTTTGTGAGATTGGCAGCTCTTAAATAGTAATTCAGGAAAATCACAGATTTTGCTGTTTGGTTGAGATTGATGTTTTTAAAAACTCATTTTTATTTGTGTGTCCACTTTAGGATGGCTTTAGATGACAAACTCTACCAGCGAGACTTAGAAGTCGCACTAGCTTTATCAGTGAAGGAACTTCCAACAGTCACCACTGATGTAGAAGAGGCTCAAGATAAAAGTAACTTCATTTTCCATATATTTATCTTTATAACCTTATTGTTTCTGTCATCATTTCCCATTTCACAGAGGAAAGAATAAAATGTTAACGCCTGGGACAACAAATGGAGCAGTTTGTAGAGGGCCCAGTTAGATCCGGCTGTTTATTCTGATGTGTAAATCTCTGTGCACACACACATCTCTGCTTAACACTCACTGTCAGCTTGCGGTCATGGACTATGAGCTTGGGTGTTCAAGTTACATTTTTGTTTACAGTAGACGTTTAACCTCTTGATCAAATGAATTGGTCTATACAGTCCTAACAATCTGCCTGTTTTCTCTCAAAATTCAAGTCAGTTAAACATGACCTGTTGGTGGTAATTTTTATTTTTTTTACAGCGGTTGAAGATACTAGTTTGGTTAGCAAGCTCAGTGGACATAAGAGATGTGTGACTTGTGGATCTCTTTGGGTTTTTCTCCTTTGATTTTTCTGGCAACTGTGCAGCAGATGGCAATATTGATATTCTGGAGAGGCAGAAATCATTATTCCTGGAAAAGATAGTCAAACTGTTAAAATGCGTTTTGGATGAAGTTGTTTGGCTTAACTTATGCTGGAGGATATTTTTAGTTCATTAGCTTATTTAGGGTTATAGATATTTAAATCAATATTGCCTCCAGTTTGGAAGTTATTGAGAATCTGTTGATTAGGGAGCCATTTAGTAATCAGGAAATTGAAGAAATGTAAAAAGAGAATTATCTTATATCTAAAAATTGAGAAAATGAAATTCATCTCTCTTCTGTAAAAGAGGGTAGAATACATGGCAGGATTTCCTTGGAAGTACCACTTCTCATAGATGAATGCACTTTATAGCAATGGGATTTAATAGTACCAATTATCATGACTGAAAGTCCTCTTGAAATACTTTAGATCATTTTAAGGCTATTACAATGATTGAAGAGGTTCTGTTAGTAAGAGCATGTGTCTGCCTACGCAGAAATGATGGCTAATATTTATTGACTGTTTCCTATGTGCTAGGCACTACAGTAAAAATTCCTACATGTGATCGGCGTTTAATCACCCACAATAAATCCAATTATTCCACACACTGTTTTTTTTATCTCCATGCTATAGATGACGACATTAAGTCTTAGAGAGGATAAGCAACTTTCCCGTGGTTGTACAGCCAATGTAAGTGATAGAGCCTGAATTTAAACAGAAGTCTCAGTCTGTGATTTCAGAGCCCAAACTCCTAGCCATATGCTAACCTTTCCAAGGTAAATCACTGTGTTCTGAGTTTGGATCATTTCTCTGTATCTGGGGACTTTTACATTGGAGCACCAATTTTCCTCTTTCTGCTCCTTGGCTGGTTAAGGTGCATCTGTATCTTTTTCCTTCTTCTTTGTCTTTAGGCACTGAAAAATGCAGCAGCAGCGGAATCAGAACAGTGACTAAGTCTCCCCATATCTCCAATTGCAGTGTAGCCAGTGATTATTTAGGTAAGTTTTGATATTAATAATAATATTTACTTTTTCTATCAACGTTGCTATTTTTCTGACTTTTATTTAAACACTGCCACCGTAGCTAGAACCAAGATCTTTAAATTTGTCAAGGTTCCCTTCTCCTCCTCTCCTTTGTTGCTTTGTGTTTTAGTTTTCTTCCCTCTTACTACAGACCCATTTGCCTTTTCTTCCCTGGGGGAGGGCCTTGACGACCCCCGGATTCTAGCCGATAACTGTTGACCACGGAAGAAAGGGGCTCCAGTTTTTACCGTTTCTTGGGGGAAAGCCTCCTCAGTTGAGTCTCGCACATATCCTTAAATTGGACTCTCTCGTCAGGAGACTGATGTACTGGGATTGACCCAGGTCAGACTCTGTGATCTCTCAGAAGCAGCGGAGGGACGGAGCAGGGCACCTAAAAACAATAGATGTGATAGAAGTCTATCCGCAGTTCTTTCAATATTATCTGTGACAAAAAGTTTCCCGTTGGTTTTTACGCCTCTCCTGAAGATTTGGATAAGATTACTGAGGAAGATGATTTGCACGGTGCTCAAGGGAAAAGAAAAGCAGCATCAAAAGCTGTGGTACAACAGAGGAAGATTCTTTTGGAAGGCAGTGATGGCGACAGTGCTAATGACTCTGAACCAGACTCTGCAACTGGTGAGTTACATCCTACCTCAAAATTAAGCCTATGGAAATTCAGTCAAAAGTTCTTAGAGACCATTAATATATGCGAGGCACTGTGCTAAATGTTTGATATGTGCAAACTTGAGAAACAAACAGGACAGTCAAATTTAGCTCTGCCATTTGGGGAGAAAGCTTTATGTGGAGGTGACCTTTTAGTTGTGCCTTGAAAAATGAGTAGCATTTAGGCAAAATACCAGGGCAAAATAGCATTCCTGACTGACAGAAAGGCATAAACAGTGGCATAGATAAGCACCCATATAAGAAGCCAGTGAGCCTGCGGGAGAGACTGTTACAGAAGAGGCTAAAGGGACAGGTGGGCACAGGATCATGGAGGGTCTCAGGCCCACTCTGAGACCTGTAGACTTTTTTCTGTAGGTAGTGGAAATTCATGACATTTTGGGGTTGAAGTGAGATGAAACCTGTATTTTATTGTGACAGGTCTCAGACTCATTCAGAAATTAGGGCAGATGAGACGCATAGTAACCATGACAGGACATCATGGTATATTAATTGAAACTTAGAATGAATAAATCCATAAATTTTTGCCAAATCAGGTGATATAGTTTGACAGATTTTAACATGCTCTTGACAAATGATTTTGTTCATCCGCATTCTGAAATCTTTGAGTATCTGTTCTGTGCATCATATTCTGGACACTAGGAATATAGCAGTGAACAACAAAAACCAGAGCTCCCTTAAGGAGTTTAAATTCAAGCGAGGGAATACAGACAATACTGAAATGTAGAATGTATCCAGTGTCATCATAGAAGAGCCCTGAAGAAGAGGAAGGTAGTGTAGAGCCGTTTTACATGACCTGGGTCATACCGAAGCAGGCGGTCTTGGGGTCCTACTTGGAGAAACACAGACATAAGTGGAACATCTGAAAGCAGGAGCCAGTGAAAAAAACACCCTGGAGAAACAGTATAGAAGAGCACGGGCTGAATGCTTCCCAACTTAAGGTTACTGAATATGAAAAAGCCCCAAATGATAAAAATAACCCCTGTCAGTTTAAATGCTTTTTCAGGGTGATAATCATAGCACTTCTAGAATGTCGTTGCCGTTATCTGAGGCACGCTTGTCAGAACAATCCATAAACAAGTTTAAAGTTATGAATTGCAAGTCTACTTAGCATGCCAGTGAAATGAATTTGTCTTTAATAATGGTTCAGATTATTGAATTATTTACTAATGGTTCAAATGTTTGCTTTCTCTGTGGAAATGAAATCACTTGCTTTGTTGGCTGGGTTTATATGGATTATGTTTCAGGCATTATAGGGATTTAAAAAGAGAAATATTGTGTTATTTGCATTTGAATTTCAGATAATCTCTCAAATCCTTTTATAAAAATAAGTTTTTATTGAAATTGTAATTTGGATAGTGACTTTATAGTTGCTTGTATGCCTTTAAAAGTAGTTAAAAATCTCTAAAATAATACACAAATGACCAAAAAGCATATGAAAAGATGCCCAACATCGGTATCATTAGGGAAATACAAATCAAAATCACAGTGAGCTGTCATCTCACACCCATCAGAATGTCAAAAGCCAGAAAATAACAAGTGTTGGTGAAGATGTAGAGAAATCAGGACCCTCGTGCACTGGTAGTGGGATTTTCGCTGTGAAAAACAGGATGGCAGTTCCTCAAGAAATTAAAAATATAAGTTATCATATGGTCTAGCAATCCCACTTCTGGGTATGTATCCCAAAAGAATTGAAAGCAGGGTCTCAGATTTTAGCATACCCATATTTATAGCAACATTCTTCATGATAGCTAAGAGATGAAAACAACCCAAATATTCATCAGCAGATTAATGGATAAACACCATGTGGTCTCACATACAGTGGGGTATTCAGCTTTGAAAAGGAAGGAAATCCTGTCATGTGCTACAGTTTGGATGGACCTTAAGGACTTTATGCTAAGTGAAATAAGCCAGTCACAGAAGACAAATACTGTGTCCACTTAGAAGAGGTATCTAAAACAGTCAGATTCATAGAAACAAAATAGAATGGTGGTTAGCAGAGATGGGGGAGAGGCAGGAATGGGAGTTGTTTAATGGGTACAGTTTCAGTTTTGCAAAATGAAAAAGTTCCAGAGATCTATTGCACAACAATGTGAATATATTCAACATTACTGAACTCTACACGTTAAGAGGATTAAGATGGTAAATTTTATATTAATATGGTTTTTCTTAACCACAATTAGAAAATTTTTTAAAAGAAGATAATAATCATTTTTAAAAAGTAACTAGCTTGGTTTTAGGTTGTTTTTCTTGTTTAGTTTTGCGTAAGCAAATATTTTTGAGATGAAATATGAGCCATAGTTCTGTGAGAAGAATAGATTTAATTTTGAGTTCTGTATAGTCAAATGGTGATTTAGGATATAGAAAACTCCAAAAATAGGAAAGAAAACATTTACTGAAATGTGTGCTTCTGGGGTTATGCTGGATATGAGGACTGCAAGAAATATTTCTAACTGAAAATTATTCTCCCTTCCTTTGGATGGATTCAAGACCTGTTAGCTGTTGGGAGGGAAATGTGGTTGTCATATGGTGATCTTGTTGTGAAATCTGATTATTAGGGCCATTATCATTATAACTAGGACAGTAGTCACAACAGGAAGCTATTGTGATAACTGATTTGTCAATAAATGGGATGTCCAAAGCTTTAGATATGAGACTGGTTAGGACAATGGGAGAAAATAATGCTAAGTGTTTATATAGTAGTATACATTCTTAGATTCTAAGAAATATCCCTTACCTAGCATAATCTGTGGACTAAAATGACTGCTACTTCTCCAGCTCTTTGAGAGCTGGTTTGTCCCCCCACCCCACGCCGTTACATTATTTTGGTTTCCACCAAACTAACAGTATGGCTGTTCTCCCTATAAAATGCCCTGTGGTCTACCCTGAGAAGCAGTCCTTCTGTTGGAGGTTGCTGGCTCATTAGCTGTGGTGATAACTGCCTGCCAGCCTGTGCCATGGTTATACAAACTAAACTTTAGACAGAATTTTCTCCTTGTCTCTCTAACTTTTTCTGTTCCCTACCTGAGGATGCAAAAGCCTTATCCTATCATCTGGCTATGTAAACTTCCTTAAGCTATCCCAGCCAAGCCTGCTTTACCTTTAAAATTGAAGGATAAACCTGTTCCTCTTCATGTTTAGTGTACTTTGGGGAGCAGTACAATCAACTTATTTTCTTTCACCCTAAGCCAGTGGTGACTGACAACTTTCCAGTCCCCTCAGAGGTGATTGCTTAGTGCACTTGAATGTGTAACTGTTTCAGACAACCTGAAGTTATTTTTGAGCGGGAGCCTTTTCTTGACGGGACATGTCAGAACTTGCACTGACTCACCCTAGATGAGAAGAGAAGGATCACTGTGACCTTCCGTAAAGAAAGAAAAATGAAAATTGGAGAGAACATAAGACTTCTCTTAAGGGCATCTGAAGATTCACAGAATCCATAACCCCACTGTTTGGGCCTGCCAGATTTGCCAATATGGAATTTTAATGACTTGGGATTCTGGGAGCTCTGTCTTCCCACCACCAAATTATTTAAACTACTTTCTTTGTTGCCTGATGATGATCAGTTGGACCCCATCTTTAGAAAAGTTTGATGGAGTTTAGCCAGCTCCTACCATTTATCCTCTCATGCCAAGAAAAGAATACATGCACTACAATACTGTTGGATATATAGGACGTTTTGTCCTCCAAGAGTCTGTATTTTGAAATTTTGAAGAAACTTCACTACTTGCCCTCCCCACCTAGATCCTTTTGGAACTCCAGAAATAATTATTTGATTTTACAAAGTACTATTTCTAGCAGCCTCCATGTGGTCTGCTGGTATTATACGGCTACTTCCATGTAACCCAGTAATCATTATGCGAGTATGCGGGTTGATTACTCTCATACCTGTTTTTAAGTTTTTATTTGTGTGGAAAGACAGATAGAATAAGGAAATCTCAATGTGAAGATCATAAAGATGTTAATTTAGGCAAAGACCATCAATGGAGGGCTGATGAGGACCTTCACAATGAGAGTTTGGGCAGCTGAGCCAACTAAGAGTAGGACAGATGTTATGTGCTTTGTGAACTGATACAATATGGAGTACAGAGCATCACTCATGAAGTGATCACTTAGGAAAAAAAAATAAGGTGAGCCTCATTCTAATTGAGCCTTGAGAAAATTCCTACTCACAGAGTAAGCTAAATGATACCATGAGGAAGAAAACAGACAAATCCAGAATGTTGGAAGTTCTCTAGGACATCTGACCTGGTTACTTCAACAACTCAGAGGCATTGGGGTGAGAAGGGAAGGGATACTGCTCTTTTTAAAAGTGATTAATATTGACTGTGTAGAAGACGATACCAAGAAACTATTGTTGATACTGTAAGATATGATAATGACATTGTTGTGTTAAAAAAAAAAAAAGCCCATTTTTCAGAGACATACTCAGAAGTATCTAGAAGTGTAATGACCTGATGTATCAGATTTATTTTAACATACTCCGAGCAGGGAGGGGAAGAGAAGACAAGAGAGAGATGAAACAAATGTAGGAAAGTATGGATGAATATTGAGTCTGAGCCGTAGTTTATTATTGTCTATTGCTGTATTTGCTTGGGTATGTTTATGTAAGTTATTTTTTATATAAAATATTATTTCCTACAGATAGGTAAGTATTATATACGGTGAGCATAACAGTGGTTATCTCTGAGTGGCAAGGTTAGGAGTAGATTTTCTTTTGCCTTGCTATTTCTTTTCTTTTTTTTTTTTTTTTTTAAGATTTATTTATTTGACAGGGAGAGACTTAGCTAGAGACAGAACACAAGCAGGGGGAGTGGGAGAGGGAGAAGCAGACCAGCAAGCGGGGAGCCCAAGGTGGAGCTCGATCCCAGGACCCCAGGACCCCAGGATCATGACCTACACCGAATATAGACACTTAACGACTGAGCCACCCAGGCACCCCTTGCCTTGATATTTCTTTGGTGTGCTCTATATTTCCTGCAATAAGTATCTACTGTTTTATAATATAGAAAATATAAGGAAGTTTTTATAAATACAGTACTACTACTTACTTACACTTAGTGTTCAGAATTTATTATTTATAAGACATGATGTTCTGACTCCCCTCCCCTGGCCTTCCCCAGAACAGAAGAATCCTTGCTTAACTCTCAGATATTCTTTTTTCTTTTTAATTTAATTTTATTTAAATTCAATTAATTAACATATTCCGTATTATTAGTTTCAGTGCTCATTACATCATGTGCCCTCTTTAATGTCCATCACCCAGATACCCCATCCCTTCAATCCCCTTCCCCTCCAGCAAACCTCAGTTTTTTCTTAGAGTTAAGAGTCTCTCATGGTTTTTCTCCCTCTCTGATTTTGTCTTATTTTATTTTTCCCTCCCTTCCCCTAAGATCCTCTGTTTTGTTTCATAAGTTCCACATATGAGTAAGATTGATAATTGTCTTTCTCTGATGGACTTATTTGGCTTAGCAAATACCCTCTAGTTCCATCCACGTCATTGCAAATGGCAAGATTTCATTTTTTGATGGCTGAGTAATTCCTCTGTCGATGGACATTTGGGCTCTTTCTGTAGTTTGGCTGTTGTGGACATTGCTGCCATAAACATTGAGATGCAGGTGCTCCTTCAGATCACTATGTATCCTTTGAATAAACACCTAATAGTGCAATGCTGGGTCATGGGTTAGCTCTGTTTTTAGCTTCTAGAAGAACTAAAGTGGCTCACCAGCTTGCATTCCCACCAGCAGTGTAAGAGGGTTCCCCTTTCTCTGCGCTCTTGCTAACACTTGTTGTTTCCTGACTTGTTAATTTTAGCCATTCTGACTGGCGTGAGGTGGTATCTCATTGTGGTTTTGATTTGTATTTCCTTGATGATGAGTGATGGTAAGCATTTTTTCATGTGTCTATTAACCATTTGTATGTCTTCTTTGGAGAAATGTCTGTTCATGTCTTCTGCCCATTTCTTGACTGGATTTTTTGTTTTTTGAGTGTCGATTTTAATAAAGTTCTTTATAGATCTTGGATACTAGCCTTTTATCTGATAAGATATTTGCAAATATCTTCTCCCATTCTGTAGGTTGTCTTTTGGTTTTGTCGACTATTTCCTTTGTTGTGCAGAAGCTTTCTATCTTGATGAAGCCCCAAGAGTTCATTTTTGGTTTTGTTCCTCTTGCCTTAGGAGACATGTCTAGCAAGAACTTACTGCAGCCAAGGTCACAGAGGTTGCTGCCTGTCTTTTCTTCTAGGATTTTGATGGATTCCTGTCTCACATTTAGGTCTTTCATCCATTTTGAGTTTATTTTTGTATGTGATGTAAGAAAATGGTCCAGTTTCATTCCTCTGCATGTGGTTGTCCAATGTTCCCACCACTATTTGTTCAAGAGACTGTCTTTTTTCCATTGGATATTCTTTCCTGCTTTGTTGAAGATTAGTTGACCATAGAATTGAGGGTCCATTTCTTGGCTCTCTATTCTGTTCCATTGATCTATGTGTCTGTTTTTGTGCCAGTACCGTACTGTCTTGATGATTACAGCTTTGTAATAGAGCTTTATTAGCTCTAAGTCTGGAATTGTGATGCCACCAACTTTGGTTTTCTTTTTCAACATTCCTTTGGCTCTTCGAGGTCTTTACTGGTTCCATACAAATTTTAGGATTATTTGTTCCAGCTCTGTGAAAAATGTTGATTTCTAGAGCAGCTGTAGCTAGTTAACCTATCACCTCTCTGGCTTGTATCATCCCATATAATACAGAGAAGAGCTTGTGGGAAATGAGAGGTTTGTCCCAAATGAAATCATACATAGGATTATCAGTTAAGATGTTGTGGTACGTTTAGTCTCTTCTCAATTCCCACTGGGTTTTTATCCTAGAATGTTGATTTAAAATGTGATTTAAAAAAGTATACTATTATTATTACCATCAAGGTCCTTGTTTTGAAGGAGTTGCTAATATAATATCATGTCCTACCATTCTTCTTAAGTTACTAAGTTAAATTGGAAAAATTGAAAGTAAAGATTACTGATGGAAAATTATAATGATAATAGTAAGAACAAACAGTTCTGTTTTCCTTGTTGTTTGCCAAATGTTATTCTAAACGCTCTACCTGTATTAACTCATTTAGTCTGCACAACAACCCTCTGATGTAGGCTTTATGATGGTCCTCATTTTATACATAGGAAACCTAAGCACAGTGAAGTGAGCAGACTATCTGAGGCCACACAACGTGTAAGCAGAGGGGCCAGGATTCCAACCCAGGCAACCACGCTCTCAGTCCTGCCGTGCATAGCAGAATGCGAGCTGCCCAAGAATTTAGTGCAAAGGCAGTAAAGTCAAGGCAATAGAAACCTCACTTTGTTTTAAAATTGAAGTGAATTGACATACAGTGTTACATTAGTTTCAGGTACACATGGAAGCCTCACTTTTTAGAACAAAGATCGGTATGTAATCCTCTGTTTTAGGTGAAGAGTCTGAGGACGACTCTGATTTTAGTGAGAGTGAAGACGATGACGAAGACTTCACCATGGGAAAAAATAAAGCGAAAGAAATTAAAAAGAAAGAAGTGAAGGTAAAATCGCCAGTTGAGAAAAAGGAGAAGAAGCCTAAATCCAGATGTGATACTTTGGGTAAGCTTAGTGCAAAATACTTAATTGTATAAAGGAAATATGTTTGGTTTATTTAATGTGTTTTTCTTCTCTCTGCCTTTTTTTTTTTAACTTTTTGCCAGGGTTCACTTCTAGCTAAGGTACATAGGAGGAAGGGGGGCGGGGAAGGGAGAAAAGCAGACGAGAGTTCTAAGCCCCACTACCTATGGAGCTCTTAACTAGAATTCCCCTTCTGTGGCACTGACGACCACCCTAGACAGCTAGGGTTACCTGCATTTTACGGTGAGAAAACGGAGGCTCACGTTCAATAACTTGTTGAAATTCTTACGAATAATTATTTGAGGAGCTGGAATTTGTACCCAGTCTTATCCATTTAGAGCCCAACCTCTAGCCATTGGACCACATTTTTTCCAGACAATGAACAGGGAAGTTTGCATGATTCTCATTTCTTGCTTTGATGCTTACTTAGTCTTTGATTTCAGAACCCTTTTGCCACATGTTTAGGGCTTCTTTGGTTTTTCAAAACAAATTACGTTAGAAACCATTTTTATAATAAAACTTGGAATTTATGACAACTTGAGCACGGAATACCTGTTTCTTATGTAAAAGAAGACAGGATATTCTTGAATTCATAATATATGATAGATTATTGTAAAGTAAAACCTCCATTAACCTGATTTTTCTTTCTTAATGATATATATTTTTATGTCTTAGTTCTTTGAAACTAAAATTTCCATTATTTGGACTCCCCCTATTAGTCATGGGAGCTGCTTTCACTAAAATAGCATGGTGCTGAGTACTTACTAAGAAATGACAACTAAATACTGATTGAGGCATATTCCTCCCTCCACTATATTTTGAATTAATGAGGTTCTAATTAGTGTCTTTTTATTTTTTTTAAAGATTTTATTTATTTGAGAGAGAGAAAGAGAGAACACGAGCTGGGGGCCAGAGGGGCAGAGGGAGAGGGAGAAGCCGACTCCCTGCTGAGCAGAGAGCCGGATGTGGGGCTGGACCCCAGAACCCTGAGATCATGACCTGAGCCAAAGGCAGACGCTTAACCGACTGAGCCACCCAGGCATCCCAGTTAGTGTCCTTTTAAATTGACAAAGTCATCTGGTTTTGAGAGAGTAGATTTTAGGCACAGGGGGTTTTAGAGAGAAAGTAGTGTATTAGTTTCTGAGTGCTGCCATGACAAATTACCACAAACATAGTGGCTTAAAACCACAAATTTATTATCTTAAAATTCTGTAGGCCACAAGTTCAGAGTGGTTCTCACTGCACTAAAATCAAGCTATAGGCAGGACTGTGTTCCTTTTTGGAGACTCTGGGGGAAATTTTCCTTTTCCTGCCTTTTGTAGCATCTAGAGGCCACCTGCATTCTTTGACTGATGGTCCACTTTCACCTTCAAACCAGCAAAGGTAGGGACTTTCTCACATCACATCACTGATTCTCTCTGTCTTTCTCCTGATTTTCACTTTCACTTACAAGGACGTTGTGAGTACTTTGGGCCATCCAGATAATTCAAGACAAACCCCCCATCTCAAGATCCTTAACTCAGTGCCATCTGCTAAGCCCCTTTGCTGTGCCCTGGCATTTGCAATATGGACATCTTTGGGGCCATTCTTCTGCCAGCCACAAACAGATATGAAAAAGTTATTAACAACATGAACATATTTTATATTTTCTTTGGACGTTTGTTTATACTTCCTCACTAAGACACACAAATAAAATGTCAGTTTCCACATTGGAATTTACCATTTCAAGTCTTCTATATACCTTGAAGCATGTTGCTTCACAAGGAAGTTTAATATGTAATATTAGAAGTAAAATTTACCTGCTAAATAATGGGATTAGGAATCAGCAAAGAAGGATTATAGTTCTAGCCCCACTAATAAGGTATTGAGTAACTTTTGAGAGTCTTTATTTAGGCACATGCTACAGTTTTTCCCTTGATAGAGAAAATCTCAAGAGCTGTGCTGTCCAATATGATAGTCACTGGCCACATGCAGCTATATTAGATTTAATTAAAGTTCAGTAAACTTTGAAAGTCACTTCCGTGGATTTGCTAACCACATTTATTTCAAGTGCTTAATAACAACATGTGGCTAGTGGTTATCACATGGACAGCACAGAATTTCCATTGTAGCAGAAAAACTTCTGTTGGACAGTGCTCATCTAGGGACTAGATGTTAACATTAAGAAGAGTATATAATGAAAATTTACGTATTCATATGCATTTAGATATCCCTTAAATCATGTCATAGTAAGCATTATCTAAAAGTGAGTTTATATTTCACCTCTCCTCCTCCCTTCATTTCCAGCACATCCCTCCAAAAGAAAACCAAAACCTAGTCCCATTCTTGTGCTTATTCTCTGGGTAAATGACACCATCAGGCAGTGTGCCCATGACAGGAACTTGCAAGTCATGATTATTTCTTTGTCTCCATCACCGCCTGCCCCCATCTAATTCCTAGAAGATCTCCAATCTGTTGTTCTTTCCTCCATTCACCCCTGGTTCAGGCCCTTATCACCTCTACCCTACAGTACCTTAAGAGCCTTCTAAGTGGTCTGCTTGTCTTATCCTACCATCAGAGAGATGTATTCAGAACACAGGTTTTCCTGAGAAAAATCAGTACCTGATTGTGACTAGCCAGACTCCTTCCGTGGTATGCAAAACTCTGCATCAGTGATGTGCACCCTGTCCATCTCTCACCTTCCTATCCTTGACCTTCCTGCTCTTATCTAGCCATCCTGAACCGGCAGCTCTCCTAGAACCGGCTGCATTCTCCAGCTTTGCATGCTCTTCTCCTTCTGCCTAGAAAACTTTCCTCTCTCTTTACTTTGCAGCCTTGATCTGGCTCAAACTATCCTCAGACAACCTCCCTGTGACCTGTTAAACCTATACACATACATACATAGATTGTAGGTTCCCTCCTACTGTGCATACCTCTAGAGTCGTCTTCTGTCTCATCACACTGCGCAATACACATCTTATTGCTTTTTTTCCCCTTCTTACTAGAGTCTAGTGACTGCACTCTATTAGAGTCTAAGTTCCTTGGGAACAAGATCCCTGAGCTATACTCTTTGTAACCCTAGAGCCTAATATATCGTCTCATTGACACGTACTGATGAGACACTGGTATGTCCTGGCTGTACGTATAGACTTGGGAGGTGGACCTTGTTCCTAATCCTGGCTCAGGTACTTAATCACCTACCCAGACTACAGGCGGATTGCTTAGGCTCTCCTCCTTATCTGATAGTGGGGATAGGAATATCTGTATCAGAATTGCTCAGAGAGTTAAAAGTAATGTATGTGATGTGGGTACCATACTGCCTCGCCTGCAGATGCTCATAAGAGATAACTATTCTCAGGCTCTCAGTGAATGTAAGCGTTTTCCAAATTTATGATATTGCCTTTTTAATTTTTATAAGTCTATGTAACTTAATAATTTTTATATCTACATGCTAGATTTAATCTTCCTCTGTGCAAAACTTTTTATATGTTTATATTTTTAAAATTTTATTTAAATTCAGTTAATTAACACAGAGTCCATTATTGGTTTTGAAGGTAGAGTTCAGTGATTCCTCGGTTGTGTATAACACCCAGTGCTCATTACTTTCTCTCTCTCGTTCCATATATATGTGTATATATATATAGGTATATATTTTATTTATTTATTTATTTATTTATTTATTTATTTTTAAGAAGTGACTTCAAGAGACTCTGCTCCAGCTGCTGTGAAATCAGAATCTCAGCCTTCACCAAAAAAGGTTTCTCTTCCTTCAGAGGCCACTAGGAAACCATTACAAATATGCAGCCCTTCAGCTGAAAGCAGAAAACCTAAGTGGGTCCCACCAGGTATGGCATATTTCTTGATCAAGGGCAGGGGCTTGGAAAATTATCACTGGCTGATTTTTTCCTCTAGTTTTAAGTGTCACACCATATCGTTACATACTTTTCAAAACCAAGGTTTTTAATTACTGCATTTATTCATCATATGTCATTCCCTTATACTGAGCATCGAGATTGTTTATTATTTTCTCAGCATCATAAATAAGGTTGTAATAAGCACAAACATCCTTATTTTTAGAAATCTGTGGGCACATCCTTGATTATTTTCTTAGGACAAATTCCTAGTGGTGGATTTACAGTGTCAAAGATTGTTAACATTTAACATTCCTGATATTTATTTTTGGTAACAAATCCTTTTGCTCAAGACCCGCTGGTCACAGTCTGACTGAAGCCTCAGGACCTGTACATGGTCTTCCAGCATTTAACAAATGCCCTTACAGACTTGACTTCTCTTTGGGTTTTTTTTGTTTGTTTGTTTGGTTTTTTTGGGGTTTTTTGCTCTACAGCCAAGTCTCACTGATTCTTCAAGAATTCTTTGACCTTCATTTATCTTGGCATTACCAAAAACCTAGTCCAGGCCCTGTCCAGTTTATGCCCAAACTACCTGTGGCTTCCTAAGTAGTCCTATATCCACTTTCTCTCCCCCAACCACATGCACCCTCTAGTCCAGGGAAACAGATACCATTTTTCTTCCTTAAACACAGTGTGTGTCGTCTTCTGTCAGAGCCTGTCTGTGTCCATTTTCCTGTCTTTTATCTATCCTCATTTTTCCCCTCTCCTTCTCTAAGACACTCCAAATCTACTCATATCTTTTCACTTACATTTCTTGATTGGTCCACAGTCGTCACCCCCTGATGACTAGGTATTAAGAGACAGATTTCAGTCTGAGTCAGTATTTTTGTATTGCTCCCTCATGTTTATAGCAGCGTTATCAACAATAGCCAAATTACAGAAAGAGCCCAGATACCCATTAACTGATGAATGGATAAAGAAGATGTAGTATATATATGAAATGGAATATTACTCAACCATCAAAAAGAATGAAATCTTGCCATTTAGATGGAACTAGAGGGTATTATGCTAGGCAAAATAAATCAGTAAAAGACAAATACCATATGATCTCACTCATATGTAGAATTTAAGAAACAAAACAGAAGAACACAGGGGAAGGGGGAAAAAAAGAGAGGAAGGAAACCATTAGAGACTCTTTCTAAATTTATTTATTTTTTCTTTTCTTTTTTTTTATTATGTTATGTTAGTCATCATTAGTCATCATTAGCTTTTGATATAGTGTCCCATGATTCATTGTTTGCGAATAACACCCAGTGCGCCATGCCATCCATGCCCTCCTTAGTACCCATCACTGAACTCACCCATCCTCCCACCCCTCCTCCTTTCCTTTTTCCCAAAGTCCATAGTCTCTCATGGTTCTTCTCCCCCTCTGATTTCTCCCATAAGGGACTCTAAACTATAGAGAACAAACTGCAGGTTGCTGGAGGGGAGATGGGGGGTGGGGAGTGGTAATGGGTGATGGGCACTAAGGAGGGCACTTATTGTGAGCAGCACTGGGTGTTATATGTAAGTGATGAATCCCTCAATTCTACTCCTGAGACTAGTATTACATCATATGTTATTAGAATTTAAATAAAAACTTGAAATATTAAATAAAAAGCGTTACTAAAAAAAAAGGTTGCAGTCTGAGACTGCATGGTTACTTAATGTCTCTTAATTACTACCTTTCATCTTGTGAAATATAAGGCACATATTGACTCAACAGTTGCACACACTACTCAGTGCTCACCATGATAAGCATAGTCCCCACCTGTTCCCATGCAACGGTGTTACACTGTTATTGACTATATTCCCTATGCTGGACTTTTCATCTCCATGATTTATTTATTTCATAACTGGAAGTTTGTGTCTCTGAACCCTTTATCCCCCTTATCTATTTCACCATCTACTCCCACCCCCACTCAGAGAAGGACAAATACTGTATCATGTCACTTAAATGAACTAGTATAAATAAATAAAAAGAATATTCATCATGTTTACAATAGTATTTGAAAAAATAGATTCAAGGAGTATTTGTAAGAATTGCAGCATTTTCAAAAATGCATTGGATTTTTCTGCTACTTTAGAAATTACAACTTCACGCATTTCTTCGTGTCTTTATAACCAGTATTAGTTGCTTCCAACTTACCTGTTTCAGCTTTTGTACTTAAAGTTTTGGTGTTATTATCTTGCTTTCTGAGCATGTTTGAAAATAAGCAGTGCTGTATTCTTTCTGCCCTTTAATACTGTTGATTCTTTTGATCTTGTTTATAACTTGATAGAACTTGTATACCACAGTAATCCATACCTACTTTTTTTTTATTTTTTGCATCTTCTGTTTTATAAGTTGATCATTGTTAAGAGATTGCAAACATACTGAGCATCAGGTGATATGTTTTCTTTTAGCGACTTCTGGAAGCAGCAACAGCAACAGGAGCCCACTGGCAGGGGTGTCTGTTAAGTCTCCAAATCAGAGTCTCCGCCTTGGCTTGTCCAGATTAGCACGAGTTAAACCTTTGCATCCAAATGCCGCTCATAGCTGAGTGTGGCAGTAAACAAATGTTTGATTAAGAGAAACAGAGTTTTACAATGTGTTTCTATTTGAATTGTGTTTCTATTTAAGGAAGGTGTGTCATAATATAAAGGAATCTTTTAATGTCATGTGAATTGCCTCTGCCTATTTTGTGAAGATGTTCTCTGAAGCTGTTCAAGACTTCAAGAAGAAAATTGTTTATAAGAATTATCTTGTGGTGTCATTTCCTCCTGAAGAATCTATTCTCTTTTTCCTGTGTTTATAATAAGGCATTGTCATTAAGTGATTGTCCCTTCGATAAGGAGGAAGTCCATGTTGCATACTGCTCTTTTCTAGTAAAATGATGTTGCTTTCTAGCTTTGTCTAATTTATGGCACCTTAAGTTTCACTGTTGAGAATTTATCTGGTGAAAGGAAACATTCCCATTTTTCCCAGGAGACATTTCTGAAATCTTAAGTTACATGATCAGTTTTACTGCAAAGATGTTTCATATTTTAGCCAATATTTTTATAATAAGAATCCAGAATTATTTTACACATTAAATTGGTTGCTGTAATGTGGCTTATGTCTCCTACTCAGAAGTAGATGTTTATTGTATAGCCAACAGAATTTCATGAGATTTTATGAAGCTCTCATTGTCAAAACCTGTAATAAAAGTGGAAGAGTCTCGGTGTTCTCTTTTCCTTGATACCGTTACATCCATCTATCTCTGATTGTCTACATTTCATGATTAAATGAATGTTTTGCGCAAAAAAAGAAAAAAAAGTTAAGTCTTTGTTGTAACTATAAGGTGGGGGGGGCTGTTTCTTAGAATCATCACTTCATGTTAAGCCAGTGCTATAGAGGGTGGCCAGGTAATTAGTCATCCCTATTATGACACATCTATATGACAGATGATACAGCTCTTCAGGAAGCTTAGATGTGAATTTGTTATAAATAAAAATGGTTATAGATATTTTACATTTTATGGTGAGAATTTCAACCAGCTCCTGATCACTTTTTAATAAAGACTCTTCAAATCACGTTAACCATTAGGGGCACCTGGGTGGCTCAGATGGTTAAGCATCTGAATATCAGTTTCAGCTCAGTCATGATCTCCGGGTCATGGGATTGAGCTCTGCCCTGAGCATGGAATCTCTAGAGATTCTTTCCCTCTCCCTCCGCCTCTGCTCCTCCCCCACTCTTCAATTTCTCTCTCTCTTTCTCTTGCTCTCTCTCAAATGGATAAATAAATAAAACCTTTAAAATCATGTCAACCATTAAAACATGTATAATATTATTCTGTTTTTTTCTTGGTTTATAGAAACATCTGTTAATGTGAAAATAAGGACTTTAGGATTATAATTAAGGTGAGCATTTGCAGGGGCACGTGAGCGCCTCAGTCAACATCCGCCTTCGGCTCAGGTCATGATCTCAGGGTCCTGGGGCCAAGCTCTTTGTTGGGAATCCCTACGCAGCAGAGAGTCTGCTTCTCCCTCTCCCTCTGCCCCTCCCCCCTGCTCATGCTCTGTTTCTCTCTCAAATAAATAAATAAAATCTTAAAAAAATAAAGCGAGCATTTGCTTATTGCTTGTATGTTTTTTTTTTCTTGTGTTTATTTTTATATTGTCATATACCACCTCTCCTACCCCACTGCATCCCCTTCTTAAAACATGTATTTAGTTATAAGGTATTAAGGTGCTCTATATGGTACAGTTTAACAGTAAATATTTGTTAAGAGCCTACCCTGTATTTGGTACTGGTATCACTGATTAATCATCTGGCACCAGCCTGATGAACCTGTTTCCTCTGTGTTATTCCAAGTAAGTTTGAGGGCACCTGTGTGGCTCAGTTGGTTAAGCATCCAACTCTTGGGGTTTTTTTTTTTTTTTTTTTTTTTTGTTTGTTTGTTTGTTAGAGTGAGAGAGAGCGCACAGGCAGGCAGAGTGGCAGGCAGAGGCAGAGGGAGAAGCAGGCTCCCCGTGGAGCAAGGAGCCCAATGCGGGACTCAATTCCAGGACACTGGAATCATGACCTGAGCTGAAGGCAGCGGGTTAACCCACTGAGCCACCCAGGCATCCCCCCACCTCTTGTTTTTGGCTCAGGTCATGACCTTGCATTGGGCTTGCACTCAACAGAGAGTCCGTTTAAGATTTTCTCCCTCTCCTTCTGCCCCTCCCTGACGTGTACTTGCTTTCTCTCTCTCTAAAATAAAGTCTTTTTAAAAAAGCAAAATCTTTTTAAAGAAGTAAGAGCCTTCACTGAAAAATACCTTAAATAATGTTAAAACTGGCCTTGCAGAAAGCACGAATGACCTTTCTGTTGTCAAATCCAGTGTACATTTTTCTCACCTAATTTTATAGACCCTATTCATCATAAACTCCCTATTAATGCATTTTATTTCCTGGGCTCACCTGACACTATTCTCTTGTAGTTTCCCTGCCTGCTCTTAATTATTTTGCAGCCTTATAAACTTGTGTCACCTACATCCACTCTTTCCACCATTGAGCCCTATTCTGTGTGATTCCATTCCATTCTTTTCCCCTGCCCGTCCCATCCCCACCCCTTTTAAGCTTAGGTGACTTCAAACCCCAGTGGTCACATATATGACAATGACTGCCAAGTCGGGATTTATTTTTAGCCCTGATCTTGCTCTACGAAAGAGCCTGGTCCGTTGATAATCTGATGCAGTAAGTCATCAGTAAATCAGTAACATCCTTCCTACCCTCCGTGTTTCCCCCACTAGATTTTCTGGAAGTAAAGGGCACTGCCATCAACCGGAGGGCAGGGGGCACTTCCACCCTTCACATCCAGTCACTGAGCTCTTTTCCATTTTGTAAATTGCTCAGAGCTGTTCTTCCACCTGCTGTCCCTTACTCTGAAACATCATCACTCACCACTAGCGGGCATCTTTGCCTTGATTTTTAACCTACTCTGGCCTACCCTCCATTACCATATTGCCAGAAAGTTTTCTAAAATCGGAGCATGAACACCCCCCACCTTAAAATCCAGGTACATACACCCTAGGCTGTTTAGCTCACAAGCTATTTCAAATCTGGCTATCCCCTGTCACCTGCTTCTTCAACCTGGTCGCATGCTGCCCATATGCACTTTTGACTCTTGCCACACCAAACACGGCCAGCATCCGCGATACCACGTGGTCCCCTAGCTCCCGGCCTTTACACTGGCTCTTATTTGCCTGCTTTACATGGCTAATTCCTATTTGGCCTTGAAGACTCAAATTCAACTCAGATCTTTCCAAAAGCTTTCTCTGAATGTCCGTTTCCTCCAGAGACCAGAAGCTATTCCTCCAGGTCACGCTAGTGTCACTCGGCTAGAACTTTTGTTTTCATGCATTTAAAACCTGATGCAGAGTCAATGCTCAAACAGCGCTCATCTGATCACTATTTTATATCCGAAACTTTTGCTATGAGCTACCACCAGGAACCACAAACGTTTTGGAAGAGGGAGAAAAGTAGGGATAATTTCATGAGCCTGGGCAGTTCGGGGAACTCCAATCTGCCTATCCTTGGGATGTCCTTCAGCTCTACCTGGGGCGAGAGAACGGGAGTAGGGCGGGAAGAGAGGTGTTCTTTATGCCGCTGTGAACGGTGGTTTGGGACGGGACTAAAGTCTAAGTCCTTTCGCGGCCGAAGTCACAAAAAGGGCGGCCAGAGTTTCTATGGCGACGGGAGGAGGGCGTGGTCCCCCACCGGCGCAGGCAGGGTGCCCCAGCGAGCGCCCCGAAGCGGCCTCCGGGCAGTCTGCGCCAGCCCAATGCAGCTCTTCCCACCTCCTGCCGGCGCCCGAACCAAGTAAGGCAGTGCGGGGCGCTAGCGGGGCAGAAGGTACCGCGGTGAGCCAGAAGCATCCGGGGCAATGCGGGAAGAAGGAGGGGGAAGAGGGGAGAAAGGAGATACAGAGAATGCAAAATAGTAGGGGGAGTGTGGTCGGAGGAGAGAGAGAGGAGGGGTGTGGGCGCGGACAGGAGGAAAAGTGCTCTGAACCGCGGCATCCTCACGACTTCAGCTGAGTGCGGGGTGGGGAGCGATGGGATTTTAGGGAACTCCTAAAGACCTGAAATTGCTTTCAGCCCTGACCCCGACAACATGGGGCACAAAACTTCCCTCCGCCTTTATCTATCTCCAGGGCGTGACTGGTACTTTGGGAGGTCAAAGGTGAGCCCACAACCCCACACCTGCTGGTTGTCCTAGGATGTGGCTGGTACCAGACTGTCCTGGCTCAGCCCATAGGCTTGCAGCCTCCATGCTCAACCAGAGCCAAGTGCAGGACATCTTTAAGCTGTGTGTGGATCGTAGGTCCATACAGGGCGTCACTTTCCCTCTGGGTGGTCCTTGCCACTTTAAGGTAATGCTCATCCTAGGAAATATTTTCCTTAAAAGGGGGATGAACAATGCAAAATTTGGATTTTAAAAAAATCTGTAGTTGATTCTTGGTGCTTGCTACATTTGAAATGTCCATCAGCCAATTCAGGGCTTAAGTAACTTGTGACCCCTCTGACCTCTATCTTAATTCAAGCTTCACTGTTCAGGCTTCAGTGGAGACAACAGAGAGTTCAAACTATGAAAGGAAAAACGTGTCCCTTGCTGCCATCTACATGTGTTCAGTATGTAAAATCTAGGATTTAATCGTCTACATGTGTTAAGTACATAAAATCTAGGAGTTCTAAGGAATTCTTCAAACTTGGACTTTGCCTAATTGATTCTGGGACTTAGGTGTATTACTTCCCTTCTTGATTTTAGTCCCTATCAAGAGGGTCATGATACACCTGAAAGGAGTCTCGAGTGGTGTGACAGCCACTCTTTGACTTCTGCCTTCTCCAGCTCCATACTGTCGCCAGCAACTTGATTAGAACACATGCTTTGCAAACTTGTGGAGGACCCAGTGCTGGGAGTCCATGGTTTTAGCTGATCCCAAATCCAACGTGACTGTGTTGTTACAGCTAAAAAGGGCAAACACCAGTCTAGTCTTCATTAATAGAAACAGAGCGACCAGGTGAGTGATGTGGAGATCTCACTGTCTGTACATAATCTAGACTCTAGAAAACTGTAGCCACTTAAAACAAGGTCATAAAAAAACTAGGAAGGTAGAGAGGGACGATAACAATACAAGTTCTTTTTTCCCCCCCAAAGATTTTATTTATTTGACAGACAGAGATCACAAGTAGGCAGAGAGGCAGGCAGAGAGAGGGGGTGGGGGGAGCCAGGCTCCCTGTTGAACAGAGAGCCCCAATGTGGGGCTCAATCCCAGGACCCTGGGATCATGACCTGAGCTGAAGGAAGAAGCTTTAACCCACTGAGCCACCCAGGCGCCCCACAATACAAGTTCTGTCATGCCTGAATGCTCTGTCCTACCAAGATGTACTTGAAATAAAACGACAGAATGCCTGGTGATGGGTAGGTGCGGAGGCAAAAAGGCACTGTTCTGAGTATTCAAGAGCTCTTGGAGTAGAAGGGTGGGTAGATGTGTTCTTTGTTGTTCTGCAGAGGATAACAAGTATCCCTGGAGGACATGTTGCTCAATATCATTTCTTCCCACCAACGTTTGCTGAGCACCAGCCATATGTATAAACAGCCTGATGGGCAATGGGTTGCCCAGATAAACAGTGAGCTCTGTCACTGGAATATTCAAGCAAAGACCCAGTGATTGCCGGGAGTGCTCTAAAGAGGATTTCTGCCAGGGTGGGAAAACGGATGAATGGCCCTAACACCTCTTCCAGCTCCGACCATCCATGGACCATGAA